CTCTTAGTTTCTAGCAAGCTGAGAAAGTGCAACTGCTGGTACAACAAACTGCTTTCAACACAAGGGAGTCCAGAAGGCTCTGTACAAACCCAAGAGCCGTTTTAGGGAAACCTACCCAAAAGACCACGCTACCCAACAAACATGTGATGATCTTTCTGGCCACTATTGTTCAGAAAAGCTATTTTTCTTACGCTGCATACACTAAAAATATTTGCACTCTCATAGCTCTTCAGCTTCAAAATCAAAACAAACAGAAAATGACAGCTACTATTTTGGAAACACAACTAGGACACTGAGAACCTTTTTGTTCTAGAGCATTTAAGCAAGTAATTACTGAAATCCACCAAGCACCACTTTTGATGAATTACACTATTTTTCCTAACAATGACTATGTTTAAATCCCTGAAAGTAGCTCCTCTTAGCATTTAGCTCTAGCTCAACGTTAAGAATATCCTTTTGCTAAACTCAGCAGTGTGGACATGCTGCTATTTAAGACTCGTGAGATAGAGATGAAATCCTACAGCCTGTTTCTCTGTTAACTTGGCTCTTCACAGGGTCTTTATGAGACATGCAATTTTTGTCTAGGAACTTTACAAGAAAGCTAGAGCTCCTGACCTACTGAGCAACATTTAAATGCTTTGCCCCTTGAGAGCTTTTCTGCAAATGTCTTCTCTGCTGCAACCTGCCTTGGTTGACTGAGAGCATGAATCTGGTGGCCTACAGCTTTCTCTTTGACCTCCTTTTTCTAGTAACTTAAAACAGTTCCTGAAAAATCTGTTTTGGAATAAATTCTGATTCCATACATGGCTTATGGTTGTCTTTAGCTACCTCTAGACCTTTACCCATAAACCAGTGACAATCCAAGGAGGTCACTGTTTGGACAGGCAGGCCGAGAGGAACTGAAGTGACGATGTAAGTCTGAGTAATACCAATATTCGGTCGGGCTTTTGGATTCATTGCAATGGCTTCAACATCTTACCAAGTCCCTGCTCAAGGGCAGCTTAGTCAAAACACAATATAAGAGTGGGATAGTTGACAGAGGAGCTTTCCTAGCCTAGAGGAGATTTCCAAGCGGAAGGCAGAATACAATGCCGTGCACAGGACCTAGAGATGTCCATAACAGATAAAACCAAGTGTGCTTCATCAACAAGGAAGCCAGGCAGGATACTTGTCGCGGAAGAAAAAAATACTTCTTCCTTAAGATTAGTGGGCTAAATTACAGTAACATGATAGAGATCTGCTACTGTTAAGACCAGAGCTTGACTGACTGCCAAGGTGGTGGCAGCATCACCCCTCCCTCACTTTGAAGAGTTTTGCTCCCTTTCCATCTGTGCACAAACTCCTCCCAAGCACCAGGATCCCAGGCGCCCTTACACATGACTCCAATCCCCTTCTTAGGGCTGAGCTCTCATGTTTAGTAAAAATTTCCGTTCCCCTCAGCCTTGGGCACAAGGCTTCTTAAGGCTTTGGACAGAGTCAATTAGAAACCTCATTTTAATTTCCATTCTCGTGCTGATGGCTCTTCGCCAGAATCAGAGTATTTTCCCACATGGAGCCCAAGTCTGTAATCCAAAATTAATGGGAGTTTTGCCTACGTAAGGATTGCACAATTATTTTGCTGGCAATATTAGAGATAACAGTAAAGTTACTGACTTAATAGCCTCAACAACAGTCATCTATTTGCATTACTATTTTTTCTTACTTTTCTGAAGAGTAATAACTGTCTTTTGTAGAATGATCTCATTGAATTCGAAAAATTGTCAAAAAGAGTGATCCAAATTGACACCCCATGATAGAGAGAAATAAACCAAGGCAGAGTGAAGTGACTCACACAACTTTAAACACTAGCACAATCAAACCTGGAGTTCTTAAATCATGATCTGTGCTCTGTCCACTGATGTACATATCATGCATGCGCCTTTGGGGAATAAATGACAAACTGACTGCATGTGCATAAATCACCAACACACGCTCTCACATATGCAATTCATGGCACCTGCAGGCAAAATATGAACCATTTTCCCACCGTATAACTACTGACAAAATGCAAAATGCTCTGTTTCTACCTAAGACCTTTTATTTAACACAATGGACAAATGCCTTTCACCTTTCTTCTAGCACTGTTTCCAGGAAGAAAATATTAAAAAGTATTTACTTTGCATTCAAGTTAAGTGTTAACTATCTTTAAAACAATGAAAAAATATTTACCCATAACACTCTGCAGCTCGCTTTACTTTAAAAATAAAACATGCCAATAATTTTCACTATATATAATTTACTGCCACTGTCAACAATCTAAATGAGTTCTGCCCTGAGACGTTATTTGTCAGTTACTCACAGTGATGTTAACTGTACGCTCCTGAAAGTACATGATGTTTTTTACTTTTAATACACCAGTGATAACAGAGCTTTTATTTAACTATGGATATCATTTCATGCTGAAGCATCAACTCTTTTCTGCACAACAGCAAATCTTTAAGCTAAGTTTATTTGTGATTTCAAAAATCTATTAAATATGATGTGTAATCCAAAAGCAATGGCAGACAGGTTAAACATGATCAGTACATTTGTTTAATAAGTCACCAGATGGGTGTATTGAGTTTCATACAGATGTATTACTCAGTTTGAAATAGGTTTTTGGATTAGATGTCACCTTAGGTTGACTTTTTCTCCAATACTTTAATAACCACAGGGCTGGAACCTCTATGACCACTGTGTACAGCTAACAGCCCCAGAAGATAGATCCCATTATTGACTGATAACATAAACTGTTTCATGGACAGGTCCTACCACAGGAAAAAACAGTATTATTTATTGCCATATGCACCTAACAAGCATGAGCGTTCACCTCATGAGAACATTTATATTTGAATGTGCCTGTTCTACCTGCACTTTATACTCGTTCCAAGACTCTCCAGCATTCTGATGAGTTCCTGAGCATTTGAAGTCTGAATTATATTTCTTCTTCCTCTCTTCCAGGCCTTTACCTGTTCCCTCAGTTTTTGGGGTAGCAACGTTCAGAATTGCATGATCACCCTGCACTTTGAAAACCTCAGACCCTGAGGGTTATCAGCAGTAATAGCTTCCAAGAGGCGAGAAATCACCTTCTGCCCCTTAAGCTATACAAATTAATCTTTTTTCATATAAAAAACTAGTACTGTTTTTCCATCTGATAGTCCCCTATATATATACGTATGTAATTGTGTTCTTCAGGACACTTACGTGTCAGGGCTGGCCTGTGATAATCAAGTTCGTTATTGCATAATGAATTTATTAGTCCGTTAACTACAGCCCTCAAAGAGATAATGGCCAATGATAGCTTATAAATCCTTGGCCGCAATCTTTCTTCCAAAGCCAGTAGTTTGCACTATGTTCTTAATAAAACCATAGTACACCAACAGTAGGATGAAATAAAGATCACCTTGGCATTCATTTTAGTAGCCTAAATTAGGCTCAGTTGTGCAATAACACACCTGAACACTACCAGCACTGGAGGCAGATGCAGTAGTCACATTCAGGTTTAATAAAAAGAAATTAGACGGAGCAATCTCTTATCAGCCCCCAGGCCCTGTGATGCTTGCCCAAGGTACTGCTCCAGTGAAGCTTGCTGGCAGTTTTACCAGTGCTCTGTGAATCTTGGATAAGGTCACTGCGTTGTGAACGTGCGTCCTCACCCCATGCTGCAGCTCTGCAGCTAACAGCCTGTTCTACAGCTGCTGCAGAGTTGCTCTTTACTCAACTTTGCATGCAGCAATGTTGACCTCTAATGGTGGAATATTTCTTCTGCTGAGCAGCACTGAGATTTTGCTTTCTGCTTTTGGTGTCTGTTTCCAGTTGAATTAGAACACTTTCAACCTGCCAGAATCTCACCAGCCAAACTGTTTAGCTTGGAATTTACTTTCAACTTACAAGAGAAGCATTTTTTCCCCTGTTATTTAATTCTGACTTTGTCAATAGAGCATCAAAATGGGAATTCATGTTCCAGATTTAAGTCTGGGATTTAAAGTCACTCTCTTCAGAGACAGACTATCTTGTAGAAGGCAGTTTCAGTCACAGTGTGTAAATAATCTCTGCAGAAAGTCTTAAGAGCTGGATGAGATGTTTTCCTCCAAATCTGAGCAAACCTATGCTGGAAAGCACACAGCACACACAGAAACCTTCTTTGAAATCTGACTGTCATTAGATATGCTGCAGCTGTAGCACCTTTCTTAGCCAGTGATCATTTCATCAAAATCAATTTATCAACAATTTTATTGGCAAAGTTAATTGAACATTTAAAATATAGAAGTGCATCATAATTTTTACATTCTGAAATGCTTACATTTTTAGTCCAAACACTGCTTAAAACTTGTAACACCTACTGGAATTTATTCCTGTACTTCATCTGGAAAAATAAGCTCATTTTAAATTGTTAGAGATGCCAGATAACAGATGAAAGTGAGACTGTTTCATGTATCTGCTCCATTTTAGCTTACCTGACACTTGCATCTACAAGAAAAGGAACAAGGTAACTGTACTATCTATACCCGACCTAAATGTGTCAATTCTTTCCAAGCTGAGATAAGGACAATGTGCTTTTAAAAGAAAAAGAATTAAAAAGAAGAAAAGAAGCCCTTGGCAGATTACTGATTTGTTTTCTTTCCTTTCATAAATACTGTGTTGCTGAAGTTGTGCTAGATTTCATCTGAGCCTACAAAGCACTTGCTCTTTACCCAAGTAAATTACTATAGGTATTTCCATACTGCTCAGTAGCAAGTACCTGTTTAAATCATGTTTTCTTTTTGCATGTTAATAGCAGTAAAAGTTACACAGACAAGTAGCTATAAATGTGAAGAGTGCCTTTACTGAATTAACACATCAGATTGGATGGCAAGGTATGCATTTTTTCCTCTTTTTCATTAATTAGTCTCTAAATACTGATTTCTTAAAATTTAAGACTTTTTTTTTTTCTTTTTAAAAAAAGAAAAACAGTCACTGAAATCTCCAACATTTTGGCTTACCTTTCTCACATCTGAGCTCTTTGGTTCTGTTGTCCAGGTTATAATTCTAGATACTGCAAGTCTTGTCTCACTGGAGTTCACAAAGTCTGTTGGATCCATCTGTCTTGCCAGGGACTCAATATACTTCAGGATAGCAACTTTCACCTGCAAAGTGAGATTTGTCAGTCTGATCAACTGGCAAAATAATGAATTATCCAATGATAAGGAGGTATTGCTCCAAGTTCACAAAATCCATGTATTGAGGGAAAAAAAATATATATATATCCTTGTAACATGTCTTCACGTCATGTCTCAAAATCAGAAGCAACTTTCTACCCAGGATTTACTTAATATAGTAACAGTTTGGACAGTTACTACTGTCAGTAGTAGTAGATGTAACAGTACATCAGAACTGGATTGAAAAAAATGATTGCTCGTGTATTTGCATAAGCAAATCAGCACTCTAACGTGCTGCCTGCACCAGCACTGAATGTTTTAATGTCTTGGGGTCTCTCTCTCATAGCCAGGGTTATTTCAGATGTCAGAATTTAATTTCTAGTCTGCAAATAAATGCTGAAGCTAGAGTTCTCCAAAGAGTTAAGATTTTGGAGATCATTGAGAAAACACTCTAGTTATTTGGCATCCCGTATATCCCTATAGAGTAAATCCAAACAGGCATGTATCTGTATCTTGAGATGCTTTTAAAAACAGTAGCTAGGTGTTACTGAAAGTCATTTCAGGAGATGAGAATTGAGCTACTACTATGTGCAGGTTTTTGGGAAAAAAAATTCTTACAAAAATTTATAAACAACTGCAAAAATTAATCAAAGCTAACAGTGTAGCTCTATATTGTATCATACAGGTATTTACAATTACCTTTTCATGAGTTCTATATAAGAACATCTGTTATTGCAAATTAATAGAAAATCATTGGAAGGGCTTTTGATACTGACCTTGAGGTTTGGTGTTTGGGTCTGATCTACAATAAATCTCATCAAAATGTTAAATTGTTGATCAAATGGAAAAGAATCCCTGTTTGAAGAAAAGAATTTGAAAAATGTAATGCAACATGAATGATCAGGACCAAATTAATCTGATACATAAACATTCACATGCGAGTTCTGCATCCACCATGACTTTTTTTTTTTTAATTTAACATCCAAGGATCAGCTGATTATTGAGGTAAGAGTGGTGAAAATTTCTAAAAGCAATATACTGACACTTTTGCTTTTCTTATATTGTTCCACCCTTTCTTCCCTTCAGGTTGTTCTTTGTTCCCTTATCTGTAGTAGCACACCAGCTTCTCTTTTCCTCAGAGTTCATAAATTGATTTCTCTGAGAAATCAATACATAGAGGTACAGAGGTACTTCCTCTTGTACCTCATGTGCTCTTGAATTATTTTCTCCCCTCTTAAAATCCTATAATGTATCAGCTATGTTTTGTAATAAAGATGTCCTATGCCGGACATTCTTAAGAAAGAGCATGGACTACAGAATTACACAGATAATGCAAAAACAGAAGCTCCAAGATCTTATCCTTACATTACCTATATGTGCTGTTTGAACACATGTAAGATTCTGCAGACTGTATTAGTACCAATCACTTTCTGAGCACTGCAAATGATATATATTTTGAGTCAAGTAATGAAAATTGAAATAAAATACTTCTTCCTACATGAATAACTTTAGAGAACGACATTTAAAATGTTAAATTGAATTACGTTAACTCAAGATTTGGATTTCAGTGCTTTAAATATCGTGACGTGATTTTGTGCTCACTTATACTGGCATTCAGCATGATCCATCCCTTAAAATGTACGGCACTCCTAGGTTTTTAAGAGGTTCATTAGATGCCTTCTTGTAATCCTGAGAAAACCTACATAATTTTTGCCATCCAAGTACTCTACCTTGTGACATCCAGAGCTTTCTGAACTTTTGCCTGAACAGATCCCAGCAAATCTGCTCCCATTTTCTTTAGCAATTGGGTCAGGAGAACAAAAAGCCAGTCCTGCAAGTCATCTTTATGAATGATGATGAAATCAACCAGCGTTTCCAAAAACATGCTGAAGACCTATAAACAAAAAACATGTCACAAAAAGACAGACTGGGCTAAAAATGGACTTCTAAATTTCCCTCCCCCCTGAGTAATTGAGTTTCATGATGACTTTGTTATAGACAGTTTCATGAATGAATGATTTTAGTGACCACATTGCTCTGGGGAGCAGAAAAGGAGAAAAAAAAAATCACAAACAATACACATCTAGAATGTGCCGTATTAAAATACCACATTAAACAAATGAAGGAAGAGGGGGAGAATACACTTACTCTCTGTTGTGAATTCCACCGCAAAGCAGGCCATGCAACAAAACAAACCACTCGTTAGCACACAGTGATCAAACCCGAATGTTCAGATGCAGCTTGTCGACAGATGCAAGATGCATTCATGGAAAGTGTACATTTTCTTAAAACAAAACTCTAAGAGTTATTTAAAACATCATATACATTGAAGCAGATCCAGTATCCTCTCTTATGAAAACAATGCCTTTAAAGTCAACAAGTCTGGAGAGCTAGATGGCTTTCTACAGTTGCATGTAATCTCTGTGTTTTTTTCCCTGTTCCACTTCAATTTATTTCAACTTCTGAGACCCCAAATCCACATCATCCCAAACACGGTGTTCAGCAACGTCAGAAGGTAAAAATAAACTATACTTTTATGAAAGACTAAATTCTGACCTCAGCTATGCTGTAGTAATTGAGAATTGTAGTTATCTAACATAATCAATGCATTTGTAGTGTTAACTCCATAAAAGCAATAAAGATGACAAATCAGCAATAACACAGAAAACATACTTTCCATGACCCAGACTGAACTTTGAGAACCAAAAATGTGAAAGACTTTACAGATAGGTACTGCCACATTGGATCAGATCTGTGGTCTAGTTAGTCCAGACTAGCTACGGCCAAAAATGCAAACTTTGAGGTAGGTTTGTGGACCTATAACCCTATAAAATAACCTGTCTTCTGAGGGAATTTGCACCTGACACTCATTTGCTGGAACTGGTGCAACAAGTAACCTGAGACCCAAATATTTATACTGTGATTCCTTTTTAAGATTGTATTTAGCACAACAACAGATGTTTTCATACAGCCATTACTGGTTTCCATCAAGGAGAAACAGCTATCTTCCTCGAGAAGGAATACAAAACTCCTTTTTCCCACATCTTCTTGATTCTCCTTATCTGCTAGCAGGAGAAAAGCGCTGAGCCCGAAAGTACCTATGGGTCAACCCTCTCCCTCCCATTCCTCCCTACTTCTTTTTAGAAGATGCGTGTATATCCACATCGTGGCCTTCAACTTCAAAGGAAGGTGTTATAGAGAAGGCAAAGTAGCTATATGAGTGGCATTGTTTAAATTTATTGAAAAGATGAAGAACATTATCTAGGTGAGATTCCATAAATCACCCTGGTGGCATCTAAATGAACATGATGCTCAATTATGATTTATTATCCTTCAGGATACTCACTCTGTTTTAGATTCGCAAGAAAGACCCTAGAGAAATACAGATAAAACTGAACGTATTGCTCCAGTAGCTAACTTCTCCAAGGCAGCAAGTCCTGCCCTGTAAGACACATTCCTTCAGCACGAAACAGACAGCTGTGAGATTTATAAATTCCAGTTTCCCCCAGCAGATGGCAGGGGTAGAAATACGAACCATTAATTCTGAACAATGTCTCATGTGCACATACGGTAACGCAGAGAAGACGCCAAGCCTTGGCGATCTTACCTTGCTGTGAGGGTCGGCAAACATCCGAGTAAATATTTCGCACAGCCTTTTTAACTCAACTCGGCTAAAATACATAATAAAACATGACATTAAATGCTAGGACTCCAGTTGCAGTAATCAACAATAGCTGAAAGATTTCATCTTCTTAATTTAAAGGTTCAGTCAACACTTCTGAAAATTCTCTACCTAGACAAAGCTGTATTTGGCATCCCAGCTTAGCTGCTGCGGACACGAGGTTTAGGTTAAGAAATCAAATAAACATGTGTTAAAAACAGAGCTTCTACTTCCTGCTGCCAGACTGCACAAGACAACCTAAAATGTACATGTTCAGGAGGTATTTAATTTCTGTCTGTATCAAGGTTGCCAATTCACAGAAACATTTCCCCTTTATTGCCTAGGAATGTATTTCTCAGGCTCCTTTGTGCCAGGAAATTCAATTTTTCCACGTACAAGCTAACTCCCATGCTGTTCAGGTAGATAGGAATCAAATATCTTGGTTTCTAAATTATCAGTAGAGTGAAATCACTCTAGGATCACATAATATTAACAGACACACAAGACTCACTGAGAAGGCATCTATACAGAAATATATGATAGATCAATGATCAAGAAACCTTATCTATCAGAAGAGAATTAAAAATCAAGGTAAAAGTGCAAGTTCCTATTAGTAGGAGTTTAGTAAACACTTAATAATGCTCTTTTTAGGCAAAGGGAAAAAGAGAATTCTCTATGTGATCTTTTCTTAAGTTATTCAAAAAATATTTCACAAGATATTGAACTCGAATCCAACAGAATTGGTGTCAAAGCTCTTATTTTCGACGTACTGAAAAGCACAGGGCCAAATGTTACAAGACTTGTTTTCCTGAAAGGCAAGCTGTCAAAGGAAGCATAAGTTTTACTTGATTACAGTCCAAATGATTGAGTAACATCTGGGTAACTACAGATATTAGCTATCAGGTATCCTTCCCCAATTACTGTGAAACTGGAGCATCTAGCAACACGCATACTGATTCTCCAGAGAACAGTCGTTCAGATTCTGGTTACGGGTACCCTGTTACCAGATAGACATTAATTCCCCAATCTACCAACATACACGTAACACTAAAATGAGCTTTAAAGAACAGGCCAGAACACGTTGGTTTTGTGTTTAATATTTAAGTAACAGTGGGTTTCCCCTCCTTGCCCCAAATAAACGTATTCATACATTGAAAGGTTGATCACATTTTCAAAGGGCAGAAAGACAAAGCTCCAAGAGCTGAATACAAACAAATAAAGTCTTTATAACAACTCCAAAGCAAGCTGGCAGCTTCATGCTGGATGGAGACTGCACTGCCTCTGCACTGACTGTTTGGCAACGCTCTCCTGACTCTGGGGGATTGCTCCTTCCATCACTCTAACACAATTTCTCTCTGGACAGGGGTTACAAGAAGGCAGTGATTATAAGTGTGTCTCTTCTTTAAAGGCCTGCTGACTCAAAGCAGCAATGCCCAATACAAACAGGCACTAAAAGAACATTTCTTTTAGAAACCTCCTGGACTCTGCTTTATTGAGAAGACCTTACAGGGGAGCCCTTGTAGGGCTAGATCACCAGAAGCTGTATCAAACTGCGAGAAGAGGTACATACTGCATCCCTTTGGATGCATCTTTCTGGATATAATATTCCCAATAGAGGATCAGGCCTGTTTTACCTGTGAGAGCTAAAGAAAACCTAGTCACATCACCACCTGATACTCACCTTATTATCCACAACAGTGCTGGGTTTAATTAGAAAAAGACAACTCGCCCCTTGCGAGACTAACAACTTTGATGATATTTTACATAATTGTGTGGGAACACACAGGATGACAAAATTTAATTACCAGAACAGGCACCAACCATCCCGAACAAAGGTAGAAGGAGATAATCAAACCAAAAGAGAATCTAATTCGGAGAATTAAAAAGAGAGTTCCAAATTATAAAAATAACTCTGCAGGGGCTTAATATTGAGGTAGTGTAGATTCCGGGATGGGTTTAACAAACTGTCTAGGATCAAAGCAAAGAAAACTAACAAGTTTGAGGAACTAGCAACAGTCATACAGTTCAAATACTACAAACAGCAGGGCTGAAAACAGCTTTTTTTTTTTTTTTCCTATCATTTTCTGCTAAGAGTTACTGATCTGGGTAAACAGTCCATTGCCTGATCTTCCAGTTCCTTCCTCCCTTGGAACTATTGCCAATGTTATTTGAAACTCTGGTTGTTATAATCCTCACACATCTTGGTAAGAAAGTTTCTCTTATGTTCCCATTATAAGCATATGAGGTGTCAATGGGGCTTTTTTTTTTTTTTTTTTAAAGTCAGGAAAAGGAAAACAAAGCATTCACATGGGAAATAGCTTTTAAAATACTCATAAGTAGACCACATCAAAAGGCACCTCTGATTTAGGAACTCTTAATGTTATTTACAACTTGTAGTACTTCCCACTTAAGGGCTGCATCACATCATGTGAAGTTCTTTTTCATGATGGGAATAACCTTTCCAGTCCTAATCTCGGACCATTTTTATTTTCTCCCCGCTAACCAAGAGAATCGTGAGTTTTCAGCAAATAAGATCTTTTAAAATGAAAATATTTACACATATTCAAGTAGAAGAAAGACTGCCAACCATGCAACAGCCACCTATAAACTTAATTTAGGACTAAGTTCCTAATACTCTTAACAGGAAAATAAAATGCTGCAACTATTTGCAAATGTAATCTCCAAAAGAGCCAAAAGATAAATAGCTTGTTGTCAAAAACTTTTCATGACAAGCCAGGGGTGAAAAGCCCATTGCCCAAGAGCCAGATGCCCTCAGCTACCATGACTTGTGGCCACATGAAGCTCCCACATAAGGACTGGGTAATTCTAAGATCTGTTTTAATGCATCACATGCAAAAGGTGTTTGAAGGGTTTATTTGGCTTTTGACAAGGGAAAAAGTTCTGTCTCTCCTATCATAAACAAGGTTTCAGAGGTGGCACACCTACTTCATTGTCTTAAAAAAATTCCTTCTACATTATAAATATAGAAGATTCAAATTTCTTCTATAGGATCTTGAAAGAGTTACAAATCACTATACCTGATGCATTCACAAAGAGCCACAAGTCATTATACCTAACAGCACACCTTCATAAAGAATCAAAGTAGACCTAACATTACAGTAGGTATTGTTTGATCTCATCTTTGAAATATACACACCCTGAATTGTTTTAGAATAAATGCAGAGCGCACTTGCTTCACCAAGTTAGTTACTGGGGAAAAAATAATTTTACTAAAGGCTTAATATGTAAAAATGGTACCACCCTTTGAGTGCATTTGCATTACCATCACTGTGAGAAATCTCACTGTGCTGCCACAAGCACCTACCATCAGAGGACTTGAGGAGACAGAGAAAGGCTCAAAGCAAGTATTCTTAATTTGGTTTTGTCTACATCACTGTTACAAATTTAACAAAAGTGATAATGCTCCCATGGCAGAATTCTTCTCTGTTAACCCCATAAAGCCCCACATTAAGGGGACAAGAGCCTTCAAGGCTGGAAGGGGTACCATTTGTCTGCATAAGGCAAGCCAAAATTACTGACTGTAGTCAGAAGTCAACTCCCACGAATGACCAAAAACCAGAAAGCTAAGAAGGTCACCTCAGTGTCCGCTGGCTCTTCAGTAAGTTCTGAAGACCTATGAGCCCTTCTTTCCTTTCAGACCAGTTGGAGCTGGCACAGTGGTTCAAGACCTCGGCTACATCTTCAGTCTGCCGCAGGTAGTGTGGAATGCCCCCGTTCCTGGAGCCATAGGAGCGCTCGGAACAAGCGCTTGATGCATCGCTGTTAGCATCGTCATCCGAGTACATCCCATAGGGTTCATATCTTCTTCTCACAGGCTTTTTCTGGAAGAGGGAAATCCAACTTAGTAAACCGTATATACTTACATCGTGCAAATAAAAAACGCTCAATCTGTAATCACTAAAAAACTTATCCTGTTGTTATAGTGCCTTAAGCATATTAAACATGCCACTAAAGACTGCCTGCTTACCTTACTCATTAGAGCAAGACAGATTCCCATTGCCTTCAATGGAAATACTCAAGCAACTAAGGTGCCTGCCCCTCCCAGCATATAAACGAGATGCTTGTGCCCAATGGAATGAGCTAGAGCTAATTAAATCACTATGTCATTTTATTGTTAAAAATGGGCAATACCTCGTTTACAGACACTGCGACAATACAACTTCCAATTCAAGAAAAAATAAAGGTAAGGAAGAAAGAGCTGAAAGGACTCTGTGCTGGTATGCACAGTTGCTTTGTTATTGCTAGCCAACTGACTAGATTTCCAATGGGACATATAAGAATGAATGATTTTTGTTATTTTGGACTAGGATTTTCCCAGAGGCTAAGGGAATTGAGTACTCAAATCTCACTTATGTACGTAGCATTAGAGGACCTAATTCCCTTAGGTACTGCTTTGACAACCCTCACCCTAACAGAGGAGATACTAGAACGATGTTGATGGCAAGCCAAACTAAACTATAAACTTCAGCAAACCTCAAATGAATACAATTGATAACACAATGTATCAGAAAAAATGCCTATATTCTAAAGTGCTTGCTACAGCATTTCTTCCTCAGTGTCAGTCCTGCAGTTCTTGGACTCGTCAAGCCAGCAGAGTTTGCTTCAACTAGGACTGCAGGATTGAAGCATAGAAATTAACTCAAGTGCAGTATCATGGGGGATAGCAAAAGGGCAGGGCAAGTTGGAAAGTAGAAATAAAAAGTCAAGAAAGCACTAGTACCTTGCTCCTGGAGTCTCCTAACAGCTGTAGGCAGGAAAATATTGAAGGGTGGGAAAAAGCATAGAGAATTATGTCAGAAGCTTATGTAGGGTTTGTTTTTTGCAACAAAAATGTATAGCAAATGCGTCTTAGCAAACTCAAAAAGAACAAAATAAACACAGTTTATGCAAAATAAAAGTGGATATAATAATGCCTGACTATTTTCTAATTGCTACACTGCTTGTACACCCTAGTCTAGGCAGAATTTTTATTAGAGAAACTTGAAATGAGATTATCTGTTTGTAAGTTCCCAATGACAGTTCTAGATACATCACCTCTCTGCTTTATTTTTCAAAAATATTGCTATGAAAAATACAAATTCTTGGTAGTCATTTCCCTTCCTCCCCCTCGCCCCAACATACAGACATAATCAGTGACTTTAGAGTCTTGGAAAGAAGCTCTGAGGTCAGGAAACTGCTATCTACAGTACAGCACGTTTAACCAACTTCACTTAACCAAGGTCTCTTTCAACTTACAGTTCTTCTTCCAAAGTGTTTTTTGAAGCCTAACTTCAAGGTCACCCGGGTAGCACCCCTGAATTAGAACCCTTAATACCAAAGTTTCCAACAGCCTTTGAGCTCTTCTGACAGATCTGAGTGCTGATTCCCAGCACGTTTTTAGGCCAAATCCAGCCCTCAAACAGAAGGGGCTCCAAAGGAAATTGCATGCACATATAGTAGAAGTCGCAAAATGATCTGCTGGATTTTGTTTAAGCTTGAGTATTTGGCTGAAGCCATCTTTGGAAAAGTCATCATTTTGTACTACACAGCAGAGAATACCCATCTGAACACAAGGGTTAAAAAGAGGCAGTGAATGCTCTTCCAAAAGGAGCCTGGACCAAGTCTGTAAATTACTACTGTGAGACAACAACTAAGAAAAAAGGAGTAAAATAGGGCAGTGGGAAAGAAGGGAACAATGAGAGAAAGTTGCCCCCCTCTTAAAGCCATAGAAACGCAGACTGAACCACCTAGCTAGCAGCACTGCCATGTAACATTTCAGGGTGTCCATTATAAAGGGTAGAAGAGTAAAAGGGAACTCCCAAAGTCTATTTGGGGACTAAGTCCTATCGGATCCCTGGGATCCGCAGCTAAGTGAAACCCTGCTGCGTATTCAGCAAGGGCTCGTGCAGGGATACCCAGTTTCATTTACACTCGCAGCCCACCACCTCCGGGGAGACCATGGACTGCTTTGGTGGCAAATCTGAGGGCAGGAAGGGATTCACAAACCACTGTATTTGGCTCATGAAAAGGCTATTCAGTCTGATAAACTCAACAACACTATTTTCTACTCTTCTGCTTCTCTTGTATTCACAACTACTTTTATGTTCCTATAAACAGATAAAAATAGATAAAAACAGAAAAAAAAAATTCAATGAGTACTTTAATGATACTCTAGAAATGGAGGTGACATGAACTGGGTGATAACCAAACAAAAACGCGAATGATTTGAGCTCTTTGAAAGTGAAGTGGGGGAAAAGAAAGTTCATCACTACCTCTATGGGGATATGGTTCATTTTTAATAAATTAAAAATTGAGATCTCTGCCTGAGAAACCTTAGGAAATCCCCTGGACTAAAGTTGGAGAAAACACAGGGTACACTGGCACCTAGATAAAGCAACTGCAACAACTGCTCTTGCCACTACATCCCCATCCCCAAATCCCACAGTAATCGCAAAGGCCTGTGCTAATACTTATCTTCTGCAGAGCAGAAAATACTTTCTGGCTTCTATTTCTTATAGTACAGTAAGATCATGTAACACAATAAAAGATTGAAGAATGACCATGAACTTAATTAGAAATGCACCTAATATTTCAAAAATACTAGCAGTACCCCAAGCAATGCATTTCAGTCTAACTGACCAGTACCATGATATGGTACCAACTAGAGACAAGACAACCCCTGATTAAATATCCAGTCAGGTACAAATAACACAGAACAGAAAGTGGGAAAACCCCAGTTCTGAAGAGCTGATCAGCAACAAACACTAAGAGAGGATGCTTTTCCTGACCAAATCCTCATATCATTAATGGAATGGATGGAGGCCCCTCATGCTGCTGTGTGCAGCCTCTGAGAGCCCAGTGAAAGGCCACCAGCAGATTCAACCCATCTTGCAGCTCCAACACCCAGCTGGGTCCGATAACAACGTGGAAGAACTCACATGAACTAGAGAAACGAACACTGCTGACAATATTCCCCAAACACAAAGCAACAAACATGAACCAAGCTAGCAACACAGCATCTGTCACCGGCACAATTAGTACAAAGCTATTAAGAGGAGAATGTACGTACAGGTAACTTTAAGCCACTTTCTGGTGTCGGAAGCATTTTGCATTTTTCCCTCTTACCAGTGCATCGGCCACGGCTGCCTCCAGATCTGTGCTTGTGCTCAGGACTCGCATGGCGTTCACGGAAGCAGGCATCCTGCCTGGCTGGCCAAGCCCAAACCGGTCTGCACAAAAGAGAGTGAAAGAGACTGTTAAGTAAATTCACATTCCCCTGGAATCCTAATCAGGTGTCTGAGCCGGACTCCCCAAAGCTTCTGGGAACTCTCAGCACTTTCTCATTAAAGCCCCTTTTATCCTTGGATCCAGAGAGGCTGCCATTAGAGGGAGAAATAAACTACTGTTGTTTGCCGGGCCCCCAGAGACTATTTTGGATCCTCGGGACATGTCTTTTTTGTTTGTTTGTTTTAAGCTGGGAAGAAGGGCATCTATTTTGCATTTCTCCTTTTAAATAGAGGCTGTTTCAAAGTTTTATTTTAATGTCAGCTACAGACACTCTGGCCCCAATCTGAAGCTCTCAGAAATCAACAGCAAAATCTGCATTAACTTCAGAGAGACAGAGTTGTGCCTGCAGGGTCAGAACATGCTCCTACTTGTGCACTGACCCATCCTGCAGCTTTTTCTCAAAGACATGAGATTAGAAGCAGAGATTAAGCTACTTTATGTTTCAAGGCTTGAGTAACATCCTACGCCCTAAAGAATATAAATAAGGATGTTTATTATTTGCTTGTGTAGTGGTTCCAATTTTTGTTTTATTAGAGTTCTTTAGTAGTAGTTTAAAATGTATGCTTGACTGAAACACAGCTTAACTTGCTATAGGTTAAATCAAAAGGGTATATTTTGATCAAACAGTATCATCTTTCTGCCCTTAAATTTGATGGCAAAGCTCTGAATGACATTGAAAAAACAGGGTTGGGTCCAAAATGCCATTTACATTCCTCCTT